CCCATTGTTGAGGAGGACGACGTCAGGAACATCATCGAGCACAGCCGCCAAGTGCCTGCCCGTCTCATTGGTATGGGAGACAGAGTGGAGAAGCTCATGATGGGCGTTGATGTCCCCCGCCACGAGCACGCCCTCGAGGCGAGATATGGACAGAGCTGCAACCTCCGAGAGGTCGAGAGTAAACCGTGTGCTCCGGTACACATTGTAAATAGTCAGTGGTCCAGATGGCAGTTGCAGCGCGACAGCTTGCACCTCCACCCCTTCACCGCAGTTGATAGGGTCAGTGACGATCGAGTGGGGGATGCAATTCCGCACATAGATTGCGGTGCCCCTGGCGGGGGGCCCACCACGCTGCAGGTATGCAGAGAACCCAGGGATGCGTGGCTGTGGGGCAGGTGGGGGCTTGACAAGGGTTTCTTGGAACAGAAACACATCTATCTCATCCCGGACTGCCGCCTGGATAGCTAGGTGGAGTTTCTGCCTCAGACCACAGATGTTCCACTGGAGAATTTTTAGGGACTGCCGGGCGACCCGTCGGACTCCATCTCCTCCTGTTCGGCCATGGTCCTCCGGAACACCCGTGCGTGTTCTACCATTTCCTCGGGCGTGAAGACCTGGGTGAGGTGATCTTTCAGGGCTGCTGAGTCGACCCTCTCCAGGAGAGCCATGCTGTACACGGTAGTCAGGAGCTCCTTGCAGACCTGCCTGTCCTTCATTGATGGGAGTAGCATGGATAGCACCTCTACCACAAGCTTGATTACGGTGACAATGTGAACCTGCGAGGTGCCCTCCCTCTGGGGGGACAGGGCTTCCTTGGCTGCGGCCTGAGGTTGTTGGCCCACTCCCGCGATTGTTGCTGCTGCTGACCCGCAGGTCGCGCAGGTCTCCGTGGTTCTCTGTGCCATCTGACTGGGTGCCGCGGCCTGTTTCCTGCTGCACTCGGGTGGGGACTGACTCGGACGGGAAGTCCCTTGCTGGTGTCCTGTCTGGTGCTGAGTAGCCGCAGCTCCTTGAGCAGCGTCCCTGAGCCGGGCTTGTTGTGTTCCTTTGTTCCGTTTCTGCTGAGGCTTCGAGACTTGCCCATGCCGTTGTTCCCCTTGCGGTGCAACTGGTCTCCTCTGTTGCTCCCCCAGTGCTGGGAACTCTCTGCTGTAGGATGTGGCCGCCGCAGAGGGGCCTGTACTGGCTGCCGCGATTGGCCGGTGATGATAGTTCCATGGTTGGGGCGTGGAGAGGGGGCATTGGTCGATGTCCCACCTGTTGCTGTTGGGTGTTTACCGAGTTGGGCTGGGCTGTCGCCGCAGGGGCCATCCGCTGTCGCACCTGTTGCCACCGCTGTACCATGACAGGACAGCCCTGGTTCCATGCATGGTGTTTCTTGCCGCAGTTGGCGCACTTGGGTTCGGGGCGTGGGGTCTCGGGGGCGGGCTGCTTGAGCAATGCAATGCAATCCTTGGAGTCGTGCTGCTTGCTGCAGACTCCACACTTCTTCACATGTTGGCAGGTAGCCGCGATATGGTTGAAACCCTGGCAGTTGTAGCATTGTAGTGGGCCCTCTACATATGGCCGAACCTTGAACCGCCCCCACACCCCCAGTGCGATGTGGGATGGTAGGGGCCCTCGGTGGTGGATCAACATATTCCGTGTTGGAATCTTGTTGGTCCCGGTGGTCAGCCTCTCTGCCTTGACAATGTTGATTGCATCGAGGAATCGCTCTGCTGGTATGGGTACAGGGACGTGGAGCACAACCCCCTTGTGCATCTTTTCTTGAGCCAGGAGCTCCCTTATCCTCGGATTCTCTGCAGCCATTGCCTTCAATCGATCGTACGTGTCCTCGTCGCGCGGCTTCGCCACGATCTCTCCCCTGAGTGTGATGTCGCAGCTGAGCTTGATGGAAGGCACGGTCGCCTCCAGGTTCTTCACCATGTCGTAGTGAGGGATAATGAACTTGTTGAAGGCCACAGTTGGTTGCCTTGCAGCACGGTTCTGAGGTCTTGAGCGCCCCTGTTCCATCTCGTTCTCCTCTGTTGCCTGTGAGGCTTCGTCTGGGTTGGTTGTTCCTGGTGCCATCTGCTGAGGAGGAGGGTCCTGGGTCACTTCCATGGTCCCCATATGTTGGGGGGTGTCCACCTGCTGGGCCGGGCTTGGGTTGGCCTCGGCTGTCCTCATCGTCCCCTGGCCATCTGGGGAAGCAGCTGGGATCAGCTGAGGCGCTTCTGTGGCATCGCCCCTGCAATGCAGGTTGTCCTTGGGTTTCTTCGCTGGCCCTTCCACTTCCTCCACGTCGCCCTGACAGTCGTCGTCGCATGATGACATGGGCCGTTTGCCTCTTGGTTCCTGAGATGACATGGCCGTACAGCCGCCCCAACAAGGCTCGTAGCTGTGTGCCACAGTTCCCAAGACCTATTAACAACGCAGTGGGTTCACAGTGGTTCACAAGCGAGTATCACGTCACTCACTGGTATCGTATTGTGAAGACCTAGGTTACAAATGGATATTTTCCCAAAGCACTGAGCACACACATATGACTCACAATTGCACGAATGGCGCGGGCAATCAGGTGCAATGCGTAAACTAACACAGCACCAGGCACCTGGCGAGCTGTACCAGTGCACGAAGCACACTGGCTGGTCAGCGCCACGCCACAGCACACGTACGAAACACACGAATGCACGACAGATTCGCAATTGTGCGTAAACTAACACAAAACTCACTGCAGAATGTCTTGAAAGAAAAGCACTTAGTCACGAACGTTCCCGTGCGTAGCGATGGCGCTGCGCAGCACGCACGAACGCCCACGAATTATGTTGCCACGGTAGCACACGTATGACTGGCGTGGCTGTGCGTAAACTAACACAGAACACGCCAGACTCACTGCAGAATGTCTTGAAAGAAAAGCACTTAGTCACGAAATTTCCTGTGAGAAACCATGCGTAAACTAACATGGACCTCACAGGGAACATCCCAGCATTCGTGCGTGCTCTCACGAATGCGTGGTCCACGTACGAAGGCGCGAACCGTGCGTAAACTAACACAGGTCGGCGAGAAGGAGTCACTCTGAACACTGAGCGATCCACTCTGAACACTCCAAAACCTCCGTATCGCGTTCTAAGGTCTATGACTGATCTCCCCGCTACTGTCTGTCTGGAGTATTTATATGCGAGGAGCGTCGTGACGGCGGCGGTGGCGGTGGCAGCAGCGGTGGCAGCAGCAGCGGTACAGCGGCAGCGGCAGCGGCAGCGGCAACGGCAATAGCAGGAGCAGCAGCAGCAGAAGAAGAAAAATAGCAGGAGATGCAGCTGTTGTTGTATTAGCAGCAATAACAAGATCGTAAGAACCAGGATCCTGTTAGTGTCTTGTGCAAGGTCTGTGTGTAGCCTCTCAGTGTTAAGGTACTCAGTCAGTGACATGACTGCATTAACACGCAGGATTTTGCTCTATATTAATTTATTTCCTGGTGTTTTGTGTTTATTGTCATTCTTTTCAGGACTTTTATGAAGTGAATTATCATGAATTAACAGAGTTCCGCTTGATTCCTGCAGTTTGTGATATAATTGAAATGGTGTGAGCTCTGTGGCTCAATTCATTACTGGATATTGCTCGTCAGTAGTCAAAGTTCTCAAGCCAATAATAATCTTCCCTATAAGCACAGAAAGTAAGCTTCACTGTGTTTATGTAACATTCCCTGGCATTTGACTTGTCTAGTCTGTAAGTGTGAATCTTTTATTTTTAACAATTTTTGTCGTTGCTACTCTTACATTTTACTCCTTGTGAATAATTCTCTTTGCCTTCACAGGCGAGAATCAACTCCCTTTACATAATCATTAATTTTCTTTAGTGCATTATTTATTTATGTGTACATGTAACTGTGATTCTACTTTTTACCAGTAAGTTACAATTTCTTGTTGAGAAGAGAAATTGCTTCTCTTCTTTATATTTCTGAGATCTTGTTCTCTCTTTATTAGTTCCAAATTACTGACGGTGAACGATTAATTTGTGATATTTTATTCTCTTCTCCTGTATTCTTACTATCATTAAACGTTTTCTCTTATTTATTATACCTTCGAGTTTAGGCGTATTTATCTTTCCAGTTTGCCATTTCTCATTCATATTTTCCCTGTTGAATTTATATTAAGTGACGTAATGTTATTCTCTGCTTGTGAAATTAAATTTTTGTGCGGATGTGTTGCCTTTCTTAACATAAATCCACTTAGCAAGGAGACAGAAATTCCCAACTAAGTAATCATGGAAATATCATGGTAATATGCATGATAAAAATGGAAAAGTAAAAGAAAACACGATTGTTTGATTGATTTTGTTTACGTTATTAAACATAATATATTATATGGCCTTTTAAAAGCAAGATTTGTATTACATAACAGACATACATACAGTAAATGTTTTAACTTACATAAATCCATATTAAGGAAAAATAACAACGTACTAATTTAACTTATGAGTTGTTTACTACTGGAATCACCTACCAAACTGCTTTATTCAATGAAATCCTCTTCACTGCATTAAAAACAAAAGAGCCAAAGTCACAAGTGGAAATAGTTTGTAGTAAGTAGAATCAACTGTGCTTCTCTCTTCAGAAAGTTTATATATATTTCATTTATTCTTACATATAAACACATGAAACAGAAAGATAAACAGGTGCCTGGTAATGTTTCCTGACCAAATCACCCTAAAACAAACACTGTTGATGGATCAGCTGCATCAGCTGCACCGTCTTGTTCGGCAGTAAAAAAAAATGAATGTTGGTGTCAGGAAATAGCTGCTGTCAGAATTCTAATAAAATCGACATAAAGCAACAGTGAAATCAGTAATAGCTAATCAGAACAAGAAAAATTTATTCATGGGGCTGCATTAGACCATCAGGTGCCGCGGAGAACATCAGGAACAGCGAGTAATCAAGTTTGATTCAAGGGAAAGAGAGTAATTTTAATTCTTTTGATCAAGTACTGCTTTGCAGGGCAGAAAAAAATAAAAAAATACCTCTAAAATGGTGTAAGGCATTTGTAAACATTTTCTCGCAGCAGCGCAACAGAAGCAATGACATAACCCAGAAATAATAAATAGAAGGCACCTTGCAGGTGATATAGACGCAACACCTCCATCTTATCCACCTGTCAAAGGAAACAAATAGTATTAGATTCACCTCAGTTTCGTGTCTTCAACACGTTCTCAAATGCTCTTAAATTTTAAATTTTATTTCATTAGAATCAATCGTCTCCTTGTATTATTTAATGAGTTTTCTTTAATGACAGACCTAATTTTTTTTTTAAATTGAAATCTCTGCAATTCTCAAGGTCACTTTAGTAAAAATTTGAGTCACCTATGAACATGGGATGTGTGAAGAAAATAAAAATATAATGAAGTTATGTATTCTTATCGTAATAAAATACTCAGTTAAATAAATAAGAAAAAATTCAAATTCAAATATGATACCAGGAGAAATTCAGACCATCTTTAACATTTGTAAAATTGCATAGAGGTGAGACAGCCTAGGACTAGACAGGTGAGCATAAGAAAACAAAAGCATACACACATACATACACACATACACACACACATACACACATGCACACACACACACACATACACACACACACACACACACACACACACACACACACACACACACACACACACACACACACACACACACACACACTCAAATACATAGACACACACACACACACACACACATAGACACACACTCAAACACATAGACACACACACACACACACACACACATAGACACACACTCAAACACACACACACACACACACACACACACACACACACACACACACACACACACCACACACACACACACACACACACACACACACACACACACACCTAGTAGCGACCAGTGAAGAGGCGGGGCCAGGAGCTTGGACTCGACCCCTGCAACCTCAACTAAGTCATTACACATACACACACACACATTATATATATATATATATATATATATTATATATATATATATATATATATATATATATATTTATATAGGTAGTAGATTGGTAGACAGCAACCGCCCAGGGAAGTATTACCGTCCTGCCAAGTGAGTGTAATTGTTTTACATGATGGTAGGATTGCTGGTGTCTTTTTTCTGTCTCATAAACATGCAAGATTTCAGGTACGTCTTGCTACTTCTACTTACACTTAGGTCACACTACACATACATGTACAAGCATATATATACACACACACTTCTGGGTTTTCTTCTATTTTCTTTCTAGTTCTTGTTCCTGTTTATTTACTGTTATCTCCATGGGGAAGTGGAAGAGAATTCTTCCTCCGTAAGCCATGCGTGTTATAAGAGGCGACTAAAATGCCGGGTGCAAGGGGCTAGAAACCCTTTCTCCTGTATAAATTACTAAATTTATAAAGAGAAACTTTCGTTTTTCTTTTTGGGCCACCCTGCCTCGGTGGGATACGGCCGGTTTGTTGAAAGAAGAAGATATATATATATATATAAACCAAATTTGAATATTTTCTTTGGTTTATATAAATTAGATCCATTTATAATTAATAGAATTTGGGAAGAATTTAATAGTACAATGGACAAATAATTAATTTTAAAATTCTTAATTCTTGGGTAGAATAGTTTGTTTGTGGGTTGCGTGAAGGACCTGTCTAATTTGGCCAGCGGGCCTGCTGCAGTGTTCTCTTTCTGATGAGTCGCGCGTCAGGTGTTGCTTTGTTGTGGGATGTGATAGTGAGGTGTGGTCTAGACCCTTTATATGCCTTCCTTTGATGCATTACTTTCATTGTTCCTTGATAATGTGAGTAGTCACGAAAGCGCTTGGAATTTCTTTATTCTTTCACAATGGTTGTTTTGCATATATATACATACATATATATATATATATATATATATATATATATATATATATAATATATATATATATAAATGCATCCATTCTGTCCTTCACCCGTTATTTCACAGCTGGTGCCCTCCCACACCCGCGATGTCAGCAATGTCATAAGATGTGCCGGGTTTCCAGGAATCTCCACGACAAAGCCAACACTGTGGAATCCGTTCACTAGGCATCTGCCAGGTGTGCCACATGGAATGTGCACTCAGTTCGTCAAATGGCAACATCTTTGCTCACAATGGATGTCTAGGCTCCAAAAAGTAATGAGCAACACCCCCTCCCAGCAGACAGAGTTGACAGCTACCGTGACTTCACCTCTACAGAGGCCCTAAAATCTGCAATCAAATTAACATCCACCAGGACGCTGACACACATCCCCAAAGCAGCTCGTCCTCAATCTGCTAGCAAATTCGCTGACCTCTTGAAGAAAGCCAGCGATGCCCCTGTAGACAACGAATCCTGGCACAACCCACTGCTATTTGGCAATGCCTGTCTGGCTGTCCAACCAAGGAGAGATAAAGCACTAGCAACAATTGTCATTAGGGCAATAAATGCATTCCCTAGAGATGACACCTCACCCCTCAAAAATCAGAGCCCAATTTAAAAAAAAAATTGAAGAGGGCAATGCTATTGGAGCAATGAGGCTTATAACCAGTGAGGATACCATTGTTCCTAAGGAAGTCATTACAGTACAAGCCCTGAAGGACAAACATCCATCCAGGGTTCCCAGTACCAACACTGGCCTCCCTAACATTGCAGCAGGTGAAGAACAATTAATCCTACAGGACGCTGATGTGTATAAAGCTGCTATGTTGTTTCCACATGGCTCAGCAGGAGGTTTCACCGGTTTAAGGCCACAACACTTAAAACAAATGCTTAATCCAGCACTTGGTGAGGTTTCAGAGAGGTTGCTGTCTGAACTCGCTAAATTTTCTAATGTGTGCCTGGCTGGAAGTGTCCCAGAGGCCATTAGATCCCTCTTCTTTTTTGCGTCACCCTGTGTCATCCGGAAAAAGGATAGAGGAATCAGGCCCATTGCAGTGGGCAACATCCTTCGGCGCCTAGTCGCCAAGGCTGCAGTAAGAAGAGTGAGTCAAGAGGCTGCTGCAATGTTGAAACCAGCTCAGCTCGGTTTTGGTGTTCAACAAGGCTGTGAAGCAGCTGCCCACGCAGCACGAGTATACATCAACTACACGTCAGATGAGAAAACCTTTATCACCTGACACTGCTTGGAGAGCAGTATCAGAAGGAATACTACTCTCCAAGCAGTTTCTAGACACTTCCCTTCCTTCCAGCGCTTCATACAATCGTGTTACAGTGTGACTTCTAAACTGTTGTTTGGAGACCATGAAACTGACTCGTGAGAGGGTGTGCAACAGGGAGACCCTCTCGCCCCCTTTCTATTCTGTCTGCTCATCAAGGAGGTGAGCTCTGTATCTGTTTCTTGGATGATGGTACCCTAACTGGCTTAGACTAAAGAGTCTCTCCTAGAGGATATCTGAAAAATTAAAGTCATGAGAGAAAGCCTGGGCCTATCTTTAAACCCAATCAAATGTGAAATAGTTTCTACCAGTCGACAGATGATCCAGAGTATTTGTGCTGTTTTACCAGTAGCTGGAGCCCTTGATCCAGTCAACAGCACTCTTCTTGGTGTTCCCATTGGGCCCAGTGCCATTGATCTGATCCTAGAAAAGAAAATCTTCGACCTCAGGACGATGGAAGGCAGGATGAAAGACATTGATACACATGGTGCCTTCTACCTACTCACCAGGTGCCTGTGAATTCCAAAACGTACCCGCTTCCTGAGATGCTCCCTTAAGATCATGCTAGAGAATGTATTTAATCTTTTCCTTGAAGATGGACAGTGGTTGCAAGCCTCACTTCTAGTCAGGCTTGTGGGCCTGGGAGTACACAAATCCTTGCAGATCGCCCTACCAGCTTTCCTATCCTCTTCCATAACATTAAACGAGTTAATAACAAAATAAATTCTTCCGGACAACCTCAGTGACTCAGTGGGAATACAGAACCCTAGCTATGCCAGTGCCATCACTGAATGGAAGACTCCTGCTGCTCCAGCACCAAAACCAAGTGCAGCACTGGCCTACAAACTGTCAATTTGGGATGATCCCATCGCTGAAAAGGTACTTGTTCTGCTGGGTGCGTGATTCTTGATAAATTAGAAACATGTGCAACTCTTCGGTATCTTTATTGAGGAAACGTTTCGCCACACAGTGGCTTCATCAGTCCATACGAAGGAGAATCGTGAATAACTGGAGGAGAATGAGGTAATCAGTCCCTCAGCCTTGAGTCGATGTGGTCAGTCCATCAATCTTGAATAGAATACAGCATATGTGCAGAGAAGTAGCTTATATACCGTAGGCAGGAGAGGTGCAGCAGACGTAGGTGGTGTCACATTTGCTCAGTGTGGAAGTAGGTCGTGCCCAAGGGTTAGACAAGCGAAGAATTCTCAAGTATTAAGATCCCAAGAAGTTGCAGTGTCTGACAGGATTGTAGATGAATGGTTCAAAGAACCTAACTTGCCTCACCCTTGGGCACGACCTACTTCCACATTGAACAAATGTGACACCACCTACGACTGCTGCACCTCTCCTGCCTACGGTTTGTAAGCTGCTTCTCTGCACATATGCCGTATTCTATTCAAAATTGATGGACTGACCACATCGACTCAAGGTTGATGGACTGATTACCTCATTCTTCTCCTGTTCTTCAAGATTCTCCTCTGTATGGACTGATGAAGCCACTGTGTGCCGAAACGTTTCCTCAATAAAGATACCCAAGAGTTGCACAGGTGTCTAATTTATCAGCGTGTCGGTTCTCTGAACCATTCATCTGCGTGATTCTTGTAGCATTGTATAGTTCCGTGGGTTAGAGAGTCGTGGAATTTTTGCTCACCATGATGCGGGCTAAAACATCCCTCAGATAGTCACGGTGTTGTTATTGATTAAATGTCACTCGTTCGTGTTTACAATACGATATATACTGCTTGTAGAGGCTAGTACACCAAACGGGAGATAGAATGAAATTAGCTCTGAGGTACCCACGCCATCGTATGTCCTCGGATCACGGTGCAACACCTTGCTCAGCTGGGTGCGTGATTTTTGTAGGAATGTTTGGTCCCGTGGGTTAGAGTTAACTACATCACACAGGTCTATGGATTTTAGTTTACAATGGTGTTCCTTCCGTATGAACTTGAAGATATGAAGGTTTTTTAAGCAATTGTTCCCCAATATATGGCATTAGATACTTACTTTCTGTACACTTCCAGGGGACTCCCGAGGGCTGAGCCATGTACCTCCTCTGTTTTTTCTTACTCGCCTGGCTATCACCTCATTAGTCCATTGATCAACAATACCAGCCTCTTTTAAGTGAAGCATCAACTTCCTAAAATGCCCGTAAAATGGAGCGCCTTTCCTACGGAACAGAAAATATAATATTAATGTTGCAGAGGGGAAATCTTTCATACAGTCACTTTTCCAGTGTTACAACTGTCTGAACAAGTATTGTTAAACCTTATAATTATAAAACCCATAGATGGTGAAAATTTAAACAAATTATATCATACTGATAACTATATTACAAGTATCAAAGAATATATATTACTCACAGGACCAGTAAAAAATCCCTTGATAACCCTGTTATGAAGGATCCATGACTACTGTAAAAAATTTCTCTCAAAAATAATAATATTCTTTTATATAAGTTTTTCCCAGGATTATTAAGAACCCTGTACATAGAACACTCCATAAGAAATGACAACCATCAACATAATCAGAAAATACTTGCCTAAATCCCCATCCAAAGTCGGCTACGACATGAATTCCATCATTGGTGATGTAGTATAGTGTTTGACCGTAGTTGTCCGTGAAGAAAGACTCAATAACAACCTTGATGTAGTACTTGGGTGACAATAGAGTGTAACTTCCCTCTTTTACCATTGTGAGAGCCTCATTTTCAGCCACAATCTGATGTGAACGAATATGGTAGAAGATTGGAAATAAATGGTATAAAATACCGACACAATGGAAATATAAACACATGTGCAGTATAATGTAATCCTTTATTGACAACGTTTCGCCCACACAGTGGGCTTTTTCAAGTCACAAACAGATCTAGCTGGGTGGAAGGTACGCGAGATGTTTCCAACATCTTTTCCAATACCTCATTTCAAGCATCTACCTCCACAACCACGACCATCAAGGACATTACCAGTGATAGACAAGACAAGCTTCCATCCTCTGCAGGGGTAGCTGACATCAAAGACACTACTATGTAGAAAGCCGCTTGCTTTACAGAGTATTTCGGGCAAATTAGGTCAGTTTTGTCCCGGAATGCGACCCACACCAGTCTACTAACACCCAAGTACATATTTTACTGATGGCTGAACATAGACAACAGGCGTAAGGAAACACTCCCAATGTTTCAACCCTCGCCTGGAATCGAACCCGGGCCCTCACCGTGTGAAGTGAGAGCTTTTGCCACCAAGTCACAGGTCACTGGGCAGGCCGTGAAAGATGTCCCGTTCTGTATTTCACTGATCCTGAGAGGTATTCCCCGCCAGCCCATAACACCAACTAATATCATATCAACCAGCGCCATAAGAACAGTGTGCGACACGGCACTTGTTTCTGAGGCAGCCAGATATACGAAAAAAAATACTTGACGTCAGAGATTTCAAGGCAAGACAGCCAGCTTGCAATAAACTTTGCTTGTCTTCATTCAGTATTTGCCAAGTTCTTTTGTAAACGTGTTCTCAATAGTGCTGTCAGAGACTAGGTCCAAGACCTCTTCCTGTATCTAGTCAGGCATATACCTGCCATCTGACAGGATTTCTTGTATGGAACATGGCTACAGTATCAACTTCTGTTTCAGAGAAATATTGCGAGATGCTCCTAGATATTGTTACGCAGTGTCTTCAACTGGTTTATCACCGAGAATTTCGGTGAGATTGTGGAATATAGAAATAATGTTCAGTATCTGCTTTTCTCCTATTGAGTTGAAGTTTCGCAATCAATGTGGTTATTTATTGTCTTCATTCATTCAGAGCGTGAAGCTTATAAGCAATATTTTCATCATTATGTAAGCTTGAAAATCAACTTTCGTTCTAGCTTCCTTGATTGTGCTAAGTTCTTCCGGTAATTCTAGAAAATGTGCAGTCATGTTACCTACGGATAACCAGTTATTTTGCGTATGAAACAAGAATTTCTGATGAACTGGATCATGATCCTGTCCCAGTTTTTTAACAGTCATGTGTTCAGAGCACTACCATGGGTGTAGTTTACAATCATAATTACCATGCACAAGTCTTGAGGAATAGTCTTCCAAGCAAATGCCTCACGATAAATCAAGGAGTCAGTACTTACAACGCTGGTATCCCGATCATGAGCTAGATATTGCAGGAGCACCATCACTACAAACCTCACTGAGCTGATCCCATGAGAGGCTTATCTTTTCATAAAACTGTATGGTATTACAGACAAGCTGTAGATACAGACGTTTAAGTACAGCTAAAGATATTTTTCTCGTAATCCGTAAAGGGGAATTATTAATTGCTTGTCTGAATATTTTTTCTCTCTAATCTTCCGTTTTAACTTGGGAATGTCTCATCCGACAGTAAATCATAGCCCTTTTTTTTTTTTTTTAAATTTCATTTTTTGTTACATATTTTTAAATAATTTTCGAGAGATACTAATATTTTAGAATTACTTTATTTTATTTATTTAATAACACATCGCCGTTTCGCAGTGCCTATGGCACTGTCTTGCCAGAGGCATGCTTACACTACAGTTATAAAACTGCAACATTAACACCCCTCCTTTAGAGTGCAGACACTGTACTTCCCATCTCCAGGACTCAAGTCCAGCCTCCCAGTTTCTTTGAATTCCTTCATAAATGTTACCTTGCTCACACTCCAACAGCACGTCAAGTCCTAAAACCCATTTGCCTCCATTTGCTCCTATCACACAAAACCTCCTTTACCCCCTCCCTCCAACCTTTCCTAGGCCGACCCCTACCCCACTTTCCGTCCACTACAGATATATACACTCTCAAAGTCATTCTATTTCCTTGTATCCTCTCTACAGGTCAGAACCTCCTCAACAACCTCTCCTCAGCCATCTGAATAATAATTTTCATAATTCCACACCTCCTCCTAATGTCCAATACGAATTCTCAGCATTATAGTCACACCACACATTGTCTTCAGAAATGACATCTTCACTGCCTCCAGTCTTCTCCTTGTTGCATCATTCACAACCCATGCTTCACACCCATATAAGAGCATTGGTACAACTACGCTCTCTAATATTCCCCTCTTTGCTTCCATGGACAAAGTTCTTTGTCTCCACAGACTGCTCACTGCACCACTCACCTTTTTCCCCTCGTCAATTCTATAATTCACCTCATCTTTCATAGATCCATCTGCTGACACATCCATTCCTAAATATCTGAATATATTCACCTCCTTCATACTCCCTTCATCTGATATCCATAATTTCGCCACCTAATCTTTTTGTTATCCTCATAACCTTACTCTTTCCTATATTCACTTTTAATTGTCTTCTTTTATATACCCTTCCAAATTAATCCACCAACCTCTGCACCTTCTCTTCAGAATCTCCCAAAAGCACAGTGTCATCAGCAAATAGCAACTGTGACATCTCCAACTTTGTGTTAGATTCTTTATCTTTTAACCCCACACCTCTTGCCAACAACCGATCATTCATTTCTCTTACAACCCCATCTATAAATATATTAAACAACCACAGTGACATCACACATTCTTGTCTAAGGCCTACTTTTACTGGGAAATAATCTCCCTCTTTCCTACATACTCTAACTTGAGTCTCACTATCCTCATAAAAACTCTTCACTGCTTTCAACAACCTACCTTCTATTCCATATATATGCAACATATGCTACATTGCCCTCCCTATCCACCTTGTCATACGCCTTTTCCAAATACATAACTGGAACGAAAACGTCTTTACCCTTATCTAAATACTGTTCACTTATATGTTTCAATGTAAACACTTGGTTTACCCATCCCCTACCTTTCCGAAATCCTCCTTGTTCGTCTGCTATCCAACTCACCGTCTTAATCTTAATTTTTTTCAATAATAACTCTACCATACACTTTATCAGGTATACTCAACAGACTTATTCCCCTATAATTTTTGCACTCTCTTTTGTCCCTTTTGCCTTTATACAAAGAAACTATGCATGCTCTCTGCCATTCCCTAGGTACCTTACCCTCTTCCATACATTTATTAAATAAAAACACCAACCACTTCAAAACTGTATCTCCACCTGCATTTAACATTTCTATCTTTGTCCCATCATTCTACCCACTGCCTCGCGAACTTCCCCCACACTCACAACTGGCTCTTCCTCACTACTACAAGATGTTATTCCTCCTTGCTCTATACACGAAATCACAGCTTCCCTATCTTCATCAACATTTAAGAATTCCTCAAAATATTTCCTCCATCTTCCCAATACCTCTAACTCTCCATTTAATAACTCTCCTCTCCTATTTTAAAATATCAAATAATTCATTCCCTAGGCTTCCTCAGCTTATTCATCTCACTCCAAATTTTTTTCTCATTTTTAACAAAATTTGTTGGTAATCTCTCTTTATAGCATACTTAAAATATTCACCTCTAGCTTCTTCTTTATCTCTTTCGCCACAGGATCATTACGTGAGGCGAAATATTGGTTCGGGGATCCCTTCATCACCCATGACGCGATGCCCCACCTCCAGCCGTCACGAGCCACCAGGTCCTCTAATGTCTCCGGAGGTTTGGTCTTTCCACGGACTGTCAGGTGTGCGATTAATGAGGAAGTGTAGCATGTGGTTATGACCAGATAGAACACCAGCCAAATACCTAGCAACACCTGTAAACATTGAATATAATGCACGCTGATATTAGGCGGATGTGCATATATACTGAATGTAAATGAAGGAAATGTGCATAAATAAATGTGAAAATTATTCGTCCACGTAATACTCCATTACTATACATAACTCCAATAATTACGCAGATTGACAAGGATTGTTTGCTTCGTCGTGCTACCGTAGAGTGATATCGTAGAGAGATATCGTTATATCACAGAAACCACTTAATTCTGAATGCAGACAAACGAAACACAACAGAATGCTTCTAAAACAGCTAACTATTGGTGCTAAAGACTTGAAGCAACTCAGAGGATGTAACATTATGTTGTAACAGGGAAACTAATATCCAAATTTCTTCACTAACAATGAGCAATATGCACCTACAAAGCCTAAACTGAGTTCGATCTTCCCAGTAAATCTCATTATACAACTAGACAATCCATGATCCATGAAAGGTACCCATGATATCCAATAAACATAAATCCTTCTAATTCTAACTCATTATATTAAGAAACAATTGGTATTCCGACTATTCATGAACAGTCAATATATCACTGATGGGGAAAATTCATCAGTGGATTCGTCTCATAGAATTTTCCCCATTTCTTCTTATTCAGTATATTGAGTTATTTTTATTTTATTTCTATAACACATCGACCGTCTCCCACCAAGGCAGGGGGGCCAAAAAAAGAAAAACTATCACCATCATTCACTCCATCACTGTCTTGCCAGAGGTGCGTTTACACTATAGTTATAAAACTGCAATATTAACACCCTTCAGAGCTATTTATGGTTATTTAATTTTTAAATAATTAACCAGTTATAAGAATCAAGTACATATAGCTGAGAAAATATTTTGTATCGTGAACTGAAAATGATAAGCCAACGAATGCACTGGAAAATATAAAGACAGATAATCACTGCCTAAGGCAAGTGAACAGTCACACATTTGACTGTCTCAGCACCAGAAAAATGAATGTTATTAAAAGGCTGATGTGATACTTCAGTGCACACAAAAGGAAAATAGCTGGACGGTCATAAAATTGAGACGAAGCAAATTGTAAAAGT